GTTCAGAGTGTAGCACTGAAATACCTTGTGTAAAATAACTAGTGGGAAGTTCCTATATACTGCAGGGAGCTCAGCCAGGTGCTCTGTGATGACCTAGAGGGGTGGGATGGGAAAGAGTGGGAGGGAGACTCATGAGGAAGGAGATATATATATGTATACACACACACACACACATGGTTGATTCACATCGTTGAACAGTAGAAACTAACACATTGTTAACAAACTATCTTCCAATTAAAAAATCTTATAAATAATAAAATGCAGCACAAATTGACATATCTATGAAACAGAAACAGATTTACAGCTATAGAGAACAGATTTGTGATTGCTGTGGGGGAGGGATGATTGGGAGTTTGGGATTAGCAGACATAAACTACTATATGTAGAATGGGTAAATAACAAAGACCTACCACATAGCACAGAGAACTGTATTCAATATCCTGAGATAAACCATAATAGAAAATAATATGAAAAAGAATATATATATATATATGTATAACTGAATCACTTTGCTGCATAGCAGAAATTAACACAACATCGTAAATCAACTAAACTTCAATTAAAAAAAGAAAAGGTTGCTCTCACATTTGCCAGGAGCTCTTCATGTGGTCCCTACTCCTCCATTATAACCTAAGCCTTTTGAAAGCAGAGATGTGGTTTCTTTTGTTAAACTGTTTTACTACAGTGCTTGGCACAAATATGCATTTGGTAAATATTTGTTGTTTGCATGAGTATAATATGTTGTTATGTGAGAAATTAGAACTGAGAAATATATGTACATTATGATTGAAAAATTTCAGTAAAAAATCTATACCACTATATCTTACCATGGGTCTTCCCAGGTGACTCAATAGTAAAGAACCCACCTGCTAATGCAGCAGATGTGGGTTCCATCCCTGGGTTAGGAAGACCCCCTGGAGAAGGAAATGCAACCCAGTCCATTACTCTTGCCTGGGAAATCCCATGGATGGAGGAGCCTGGCGGGCTACAGTCCATGGGGTTGCAGAGTCAGTCACGACTCATCAACTAAACCACCACTGTACAGTATCATACATATCACATACTGTGATATATTCTAGAACTGCAGGTGCAGAGTTTTAAAAAAGAAAGAATTATTATTTTAAGCATGAGGGAATAACTAAGGTTGAAAATCTCTGAGGAGTTCGATAACTTTCATATTTATTCATATACTTTTACATCTTTAATGTTTCAAAGAGATTTTTCTTCTCTTTGACCTCCCAGCAAGCAGGATATTAGTACCCTAACCAAGGATGGAACCCTGCCTCCTGCAGTGGAAATGTGGAGTCTTAACCACTGGACAACCAGGGAATTGGCACAGTGAAAACTTTTAAATCTATGCTTAAGACTTCAGACTCTTGTATTGGAATCATTGCCTCTACCAGCACGTCTTACCTCCTACATCCAGATCCACTTTGTAGTGGGCACTGTGGGTGTGGACGGTGCCCAGTGTGTGTTCCCCAACCTGGTTTCCATATCTTCGGGCAGCACCAAAGAGAAACACTGAGCCGATGTAGCCTGTGGCATGGAATTTGACTTCTATGGCCCCATTGGGGTGGAAGACCATATCCCACACATAGTCATAGTTGAGCATCGTGGACACAGACCTGAAGATCAGCACTGTCTCCACAACGCCCCCAAAATAGTGGGAAAGAAAATCTGAGTGGTGTCGCCTCAGGGGCAGGCCCTTGTTCTGCTCAAACACACAAAAGGCATCGTGTAGTGTCTTGGGGGCTTGGGACTCCAGAAGGAAGTGCCAGTCCACATAGGTAGCCAGATAGGGACAGTCCACCCCACGGCTCAGGGGTGTGGAAAAGTACCCCAAACCAAAGTTGGCATCTGCATATCGGCCTCTCAAGGCCAAAGGAGAATTTCCACCATAGATGGCCAAGGCTTCCTGGACACTGACTTCATACGCAATTCTTTCCCCCTGGAAGCGGATGTCAAAGATCCTAGGACCACTGAAACCTCCGAGGCCAAAGGAGAAAGTCCACAATGAGGAGGCCACTTGATTGCCCTGGACACTGAAGCGGGGCCCATGAGGATGGAACTGCAGAGGTGGAGTTGGACCCGGGGGCACCTGGGACTTCAGGGACCAGGACCCACCTGTGCCATTGTCTGGGATCACCACCACATTCACCTGGCCAGCCTCAAACTGCTCCTCCAGCTGGGCCAGACTCTCATAGTAGCGGCCTTGAAAGAACACCTTCTGGATGGTCCACTGGGCAGGGTCCAGAGCCTTGTGGTCTACCAGCAGTTCCAACCCCACGGGGTGCAGGAAGAACCCAGCCCCAGAAATGTTGTAGTAGAGGCCAAACCAGGTGGCCCTGTCCCCTGACTGCACGCCACGGGGAGCTGAGTTCATGGTCACCAGGTTCCTTCCTCCTTGTTTGTAGGAGCAGCAGTGGTGGAGGACACCAGAAGCCTGGGGCAGTTCTCTGTCGAAGATCATCTGGTCTATGTCCAGGTACTCTCGGAGAAGCACGGGGCGTCGGTAATAGGGCAGGGGGCCCCCATGACGCTCCACAGTCACATCCCGCATGTAGGAGGGCTGGGGCAGCGGTCCCACCACCAGCTCAGTCACATTGGGCTGGGGTTGTCCGCCAAAGAAGATGATGGCCAGTGCCTCCCGGGCAGGTGGGGGGCTCCCCCTGTCCAGGTGGGCCAGGGCTGCTGCCTTGGGGGGCAGCTGCAGCTCTACCGAGAAGACGCAGTTGTCTGACGGTCGGGCCTGGGCTGCATCCACCAAGTCTGGCCCCAGCTTCTGGGTCAGGAAGCTCATCACAGCTGTCAGCTCTTCTCGGCTCAGGTCTGCAAACAGCTGGCTCTGGTCAGGCTGTGTCCAGGGCTGGGCACTGGGGGATCCAGAGGAGCAGCGGGGAGGCAGACTGGGATGACATTGCTTCCCAACTCTCTTCTCACTCCCAGCAGGACCTTCCTCCCTGCCCATTACCAGAAGAGTCCACAAGGACAGAAAAATGAAGATGAACATCTCTAAAACTCCTGGTTGTCCTCAGCCTCTCCAAGTGGAATGCAGAATGCAAGACAGATAGACAGGACCTGGGTGCTCGATGTCTCTTTCAGTCTCTGGAGGTTCCTGGCTCTGGGTGGTCCTTCTGGGCGATGGCATGTTGGGTAAATTCAAGACAAGCAGCCAAGGAAAGAGGGTTGGCAGGGAGTGGAGGTTTGGTAGAGGCAATGGTCAAACCAGGCTCGGGAGGTGGGACCACGGTAGAAACCTGGACTTTAAGTGATCCACGTCAGCCTCTGTCTTCTTGTTCCAAATCAAACACTCAGGTTCAAGGTTGGGGCACAAAGTGCAGGAGGGCTGGGTTTGGGAGACACAGCTGGAGGGAGGAGAGGAAGATGTGACGGGGGCAGAAAGGGACTGTCCTTGGGCTTCTCTCCTCATGCAGACGCAGCCTTTCTCCTGGCTATGTGGCTGCAAGCAAAACGCACCTGAGCACAACCCTCCAGCAGGATTTGCTCCTTCCTTCCTCTAGTCTGGGAAGCCCTCATCACTGCCTTCTGCTCCCCCATCAAGCAGAATCCTACAGGCACACACAGGAGCCTGCAGAGTCATGCTGAGAACACAAAGCACCAGGGAGGAGCTGGGGGACTGAAGGGCTGAGCCAGGTCAACATCTTGGAGGCCCTGAGCTCCCTGAGTCACTGGAGGGAAACATTTAGGGGGTGGAACCAGTAACAAACTGGAGGGAGTTGGGAGTTGCAGTGTAAGAAAGACCCTCTCCCTATCCCATGAGCCGGTCTGGTGGATCATCACAGGTCAGAGTGCCTGGAACCCTGGCTGTAAACTTCCACCTTGGGCCAAGTTATAAATGCATCCAGCCATCATGGGCCCTCTCTCCTGACTGAGGTCTTTCTCCCTGTTCTTCAGAACCTAGCTTCTCTCCAGCTCACAGACTCATCTCCATCCACTGTTGACCCAACAGTGAACCTGGGCTTGGAGCAGGACAGAAAGGAGAAGCAGCTTCTGTGCTGTGTGTGCTCCCTGGATGTGACTCCCTCAGGTCAGAAGCTGAGCAGCACCTGAAATCTGTTTCCTGTCCACCTCCCAGCCCTGCCTGGGCTTCCAGCAGGTGGAAGTCACCCCTCCCCATTGCTTCTCATTCCCCTTCTTTGAAGAGAGACAGATAGAGAGAGTGAGTGAGAGACAGCAAAAGAGAAATTGACTGAGGTTTAACATTTTTCTTGCACATGTACAGACAAGTGGAGGCAAAGGGGTCACCAGAGGCCACCCCCATTTTTCCAGGTTCAAACACTTTAGCTTTCCGTACCCTGCTGCTGCTAAATCGCTTCAGTCGTGTCTGACTCTGTGCGACCCCATAGACGGCAGCCCACCAGGCTCCCCCTTCCCTGGAATTCTCCAGGCAAGAACACTGGAGTGGGTTGCCATTTCCTTCTCCAGTGCATGAAAGTGAAAGGTGAAAGTGAAGTCGCTCAGTCATGTCCGACTCTTAGCGACCCGATGGACTGCAGCCTACCAGGATCCTCCGTCCATGAGATTTTCCAGGCAAGAGTACTGGAGTGGGGTGCCATTGCCTTCTCCGTTCCGTACCCTACCCCTTCCTAAAACACAAGTTAGTTTAAAGAACAGAGTCAAATCTTGTTGGGCCCATTTATTAACAATAATAAATGAATATTAATATAGTCATATGGTTCAGAATTCAAAAATTTCTAAAGGGTTTATACTACTAAGTTGCCTCCCGTTTGAGTCCCCGTCTCCTGGTTCCTCTCCACAGCAGCAACCAGTGTTACCCATGTCTTCTGAATACGCATTTCTAAGATATGAAAATATGTACTTATGTGGCAAAAAAGGCCGTATTCTGGCGGCGAGTGAGGCTTTACGTGCGGTGAGACGGCAACGGCGGCGCGCGTCTTCCTCCTTTTCCTACCTTGGGGCCAGAGTCCCTGAGGGCGTCCAGCTGCGCTTAAGTCTGGCCGGCGCGACCTGTCTCCGCAATGCCCCCGAAGAAACAGGCTCAGGCAGGGGGCAGCAAAAAGGCGGAGCAGAAAAAGAAGAAGATTATCGAAGACAAAACTTTTGGTCTGAAGAATAAGAAAGGAGCAAAGCAACAGAAGTTTATCAAGGCTGTCACTCATCAAGTTAAATTTGGTCAACAAAATTCCCGTCAGGTAGCACAAAGTGAAGCTGAAAAGAAGTTGAAGAAAGATGACAAGAAAAAAGAATTACAAGAGCTAAATGAGTTGTTCAAACCTGTAGTTGCTGCTCAGAAAATAAGTAAAGGTGCAGATCCCAAATCTGTAGTATGTGCATTCTTCAAGCAAGGACAGTGTACTAAAGGAGATAAGTGTAAGTTCTCTCATGACTTGACTCTGGAGAGAAAACGTGAAAAGCGAAGCATTTACATTGATGCAAGAGATGAAGAGCTTGAAAAAGATACTATGGATAATTGGGATGAGAAAAAACTGGAAGAAGTTGTGAACAAGAAGCACGGTGAGGCGGAAAAGAAAAAACCAAAAACTCAAATAGTGTGCAAACATTTCCTTGAAGCTATTGAAAACAACAAATACGGCTGGTTTTGGGTATGTCCTGGAGGGGGTGATATTTGCGTGTATCATCATGCACTTCCTCCTGGATTTGTCTTGAAAAAAGATAAAAAGAAAGAAGAGAAAGAGGATGAAATTTCATTAGAAGATCTAATTGAAAGAGCATTCTGCCCTAGGTCCAAATGTTACCAAAATCACTCTAGAATCTTTTCTTGCATGGAAGAAAAGAAAAAGACAAGAAAAGATTGATAAACTTGAGCAAGATATAGAAAGAAGGAAAGCAGACTTCAAAGCTGGGAAAGCATTAGTGATCAGTGGTCGTGAGGTGTTTGAATTTCATCCTGAACTGGTTGACGATGATGATGAGGAAGCTGATGATACCCGTTACACCCAGGGAACAGGTGGTGATGAGGTTGCTGATTCAGTGAGTGTAAATGACATAGATTTAAGCCTGTACATCCCAAGAGATGTAGATGAGACAGGTATTACTGTAGCCAGTCTTGAAAGATTCAGCACATATACTTCAGAAAAGGATGAAAACAAATTAAGTGAAGCTTCCGGAGGTAGGGCTGAAAATGGTGAGAGAAGTGATTAGGAAGAGGACAACGAAGGGGAAGGACAGGAAAACGGAGCCATCGATGCTGTTCCTGTTAATGAAAATCTGTTTACTGGGGAAGATTTGGGTGAACTAGAAGAAGAATTAAACACATTTGATTTAGAAGAATGACACCAAGTCAATGAAAAAGTTGAGCCAGCTCAGCATGAGTTGAAATTGACTACATTAATTTTTTTCCACCTAAAACTCTTCAACAGGATATTTGTTTCCCATGCTGATTATGGAGGGCTTACTTCCTCCAAAAAAGAAATATTCTCCCTACATCTTGTTTTCTGACTTTGGCTACATCTCATAGTAAGTTCAGAGTAGTTCATGATAAATTATTATTTTTTTTTTCAAACACAAGGGTAATTATTTTTTTTTACAAAGTTCAAAATAGATTACATTTATGTGCTTTTTAGTCATTACACAATGTACAGACATGATCTATTTAATGATTTATGCTCCCCAAATGGTTAAACAATGAATATTTTCTATGAAAGAGTATACATAAAAGCTTTGACTTTAGAAGCAAAGTACTGTTTCCTGCAAAAACCAACATCAGGCATATATCTTGTGTTTATCCTTGAGAATACTACAGTAGCAGTGCATAAATTCATTCTGTAAAAAGATCCGGAACATGATTTTCAAGAGACTCAATGCATTGTGCTATCAGATAAAAATCCTAAGTCAAAAGATCAATTACTACAACACTAACAGTTAAAACTGCATATATATGTTAGAGATCAGAAGAGGCTATAAAGAAATGTAAATAGTTGTGCTTCAGGGGACTTTTTTGGTTAAGTTGTTTTAATAATAAATACAAACTTATAAATACAACTTAAAAATGTCTCAGTGACTGGTATAAAATAGACAGATATCAAGGATTTTTTATATTGATACTTGGCTTAGAGTTTAAAGGTGAAAAATCATCTCCACATAAACCACCTGGCATTGGTAGCCCCAATCTGGGCTAGTACCTTACAGTCAGGCAGAGGGCTATGGAGAAAAGATAAGTGATTTTTCCTCCTATTAACATAAAGCATTATCCAGAGGTAAAGCTAGGGTGTACCAAGTAACTAAACAAATGTCTACCTTCCTTTAGAATTCTTAGACCAAAAAGAATGGTCACCCTACTTCTTGGTGGCTGGACCACAACCTATTCTGCAGTTCATCAAATGAATTAAATATGTCTTCTGTGAGAGACTAAGATAAGCATGATCCCTCAGTACTTTATGCTTTTTATTACTCTCTACATATTAACTGTAAAATTTGTAGTTTAGAAACACCATGGCAACTGTTTATAATGATAGAGGACAAGGCATAGTTTACAAAGGAACATTGATGTTCGTACCTAGGAAGTAAATGTACTTTACTTTTAGGCTGGTCAGTTTGATCTTTTAGGCCTTTAACTTTGAAGGACACATGACTGCAGCAATCAAAGTGAATTAGAAAAAGGATGAGAAAATAACAAGTATCTTAATTAAAGTCTTTTGCATGGCTGGCTTAGATATAAAAAGAATTTCTTCCAATAATTTCCTAAGTGTCACTCAGAAGCCTCCTTGTATCTGTAACATAATGTGCTGGAGTCCTTGGAATAAAATTATAGAGTAATTAAAAATATATATTATACATTTGAAATGATTGCAAATCATTCAACAGTTTGTAGCATGTTAATGGGGTGAAATAGAGATAAAAGGCAGTCCACATTCATATTTTCAAGATAAATGTACTTCAGAAGTCAACTGAACTCCTTGTTCATGTTCTAAATATAGCCATTGTGATAAGACCTAAGATATAAGCAGCCACTAATTTTTGATTCACACTTAAGTGGAGGTAGAGAGGCACCAGCGATTCCACATCCCCCAGCGTGGGAAGCATCAGAGCTGCAACACACACCGCTCCCAGGAAGACAGTCAGTAAACTAGGTCCTGAGGAGGCAGTTCTGTTTTCTGGTTGAAACGACTGCTCAAAAAATAAACTTTCAGTTAAATGTTCTTTTATTCTTTTTTCCTCCTCTTCCTTTTGTTGTTCTTTTGCGGACGGGAGAAGAGTAGCCACAACCTCTTTCCTTCCTAAAGCCTTCCTCTGGCTTTGCTCAGAAACTTGGAGAAGGAATTTGTCTATTACACCATAGTGACAGGATCGGACGTCTCTATGACGAATTACACCTAGACTTCAAGTCCATGCACAAAGGCAAAAATAAGCAATCGAATAAGTAGGTAATCCAGTAAGACCAATGCAACAGAAGGCTAACAATACATTTCTGTATTTCTATATCCATACAACATTGAGGCTTTACTGCACCTGCAGCGTCAACGACAACATACTTATTTGGAGTAGTACACAAAACTTTGAACTTCAAGGCAAACTCATAGGGATTATAGAGTGTCAACACTTGCTTATGTGTTGACTGGTCATCTGCATAAAATATTAGCTCTGTGGGAAACACAAAGACAGGAAGATTTCCTTCCACTAACTCTGGCTGTCTTTTTTGTTGATGCATTGGCACTAAATCCCCCTCGCTGAGGCGTCGGTTTTTACAGTCTCAAATCTATTTGGGGTTTTTCTTAAAAATCAGTTAAAATCTCCAAAGCATTTTGGCAATCTCGGCAACACCGGCTCCTCGGAAAGCAGCTGCGATTGCTCCCTCCGGTCCTTTGTCAGCATCTCTAGGCTGCACCAGTTCATGATAAATTAAATGGTCATTGCAGAAAATGATTGATGGTTGTAATTGTCCACTCAAGTAGGAAGTGTAAACTGCTTTTCCAGCTTTTGATTTTCATTGGGCATGTGTTGTTACAAGGACAACATAAATTTAAATTACCCTTCATTTAAGGCAATTTTTAATGAGTGATTCTATTTCCTTTGTATTTATATGTTTAAAAGACTGCCTAAGATATGAACCTGTAACTTCATCAAGGAAACTGCATATGCAGATTCAGTATTGTATATCTTTGGACAATTAGATGGACATTTAAAATGAAACTTCATTAATCTGACAGGATCAACTGCAATGCCCTGTGTTAAACTGTTTGAAACCACTCCCTTTTCTTTTTTGCCAATAAAGTTGTAAATAAAAACAGTGATACAATAAATTAAAAAAAAAAAAAGAAAATATGTACTTATGTGATACTTCCCTGTAAAACACAAGTGGAGGTGTCCTATACACACTTCTGTTCTTTCTCTTGTTCACTGGATTATGATTCTCTATAAAGAGATATAATTACTTTTACAGCTGCATAGATTTGTTTTTTAAGAGTGTATCAGAATTTATTTAATCAGTCTTCTAGGAACAAGAGTTCTACTGCTTCCCATCTCTGGTTATTTGCAGAGGTAGCCCAAATCCAATCTGCCACCACCCAGCTGTCCATAGGAACAGCTTGTGTGGAGGCTCCACCCCCAGAAACCCTGGCTTATTTGCATGCTTACATATGCTTGAACAGCACCTCGCCCCATGGTGTGAGTCTTCCTGTTCTGCCTGCCCCACCTTCCCTGGTGCCGAGGGCACTGGCCACACACACACCTGATGCAAAATGATCACTCTTCATTAGCACTGCACGCACAAAACTGGAGCTGCTGCTGTCCCCATGACCATCCTCTGCCAGAGGATGCAAGTTCCAAGGCAGATCTACACAAATGGGCAGAAAGAACTGTGAAGAGACACCTTGCCCCAGGACTGAGGGAACGGGAAGCTCCCAGACACAGGGAGACAGATGGGGACTGTCTTCTCAAACTAGATGTCCCTTCCAGTTTGAGACTTCCACAGGCCTGGAGCCAGGAGGGGACACCAGAGTTGAGAAATGAGAACTGGGGAAAATCTGCTCAGGGCAGAAAGGGAAATCCAAGAAAATAAGAACAGGAGGTCTGGCTCGGTCTCTTGTGGAGTCCCTGGGTCCTGGTACACGCAAGGTTTTGTTTGAGCCCTCTGAATGTCTCTGGCAGGTATGGGGTTTGATTCTAAAAGTGATTTTACCCCTTCTACCATCTCATTGGAAGGACTGATGCTGAAGCCGAAACTCCACTATTTAGTCAACTGATGAAAGAACTGACTCATAGGAAAAGACCCTGATGCTGGGAAAGACCGAAGGCAGGAGGAGAAGGGGATGACAGAGGATGAGATGGTTGGATGGTATCACTGACTTGATGGACATGAGTTTGAGCAAGCTCCAGGAGTTGGTGGTGGACAGGGAAGTCTGGCGTGCTGCTGTCCATGGGGTCTCAAGGAGTCAGACACGACTGAGCAACTGAACTGAACTGAACTGAAGAACAGGAGGGGGTTAGGCAAGAAGGAAGAGAGAGAGAGAAAGAGGACTAGAATGAGAGGAAACATGGGCCAAAGAGTTCTTTCCAGCTGGACTCCTGGATTCACCTGGCAGGAACCCTGCCCGGGGCGCCTAGGCGGCCATCCACATAGAGAGCCCCCATCCTCCCCTCCCAAGTGAGGGCTGGGGAATCTCAGAAGAGATCTGGCATGGCCTAAAAAGATTTGAGAAAACCAGAAGGCAAAATAAGTAGAAAACAAACAAAAAAATTGCCAAAGTTAAGTCTTCTAGAAAGGTTTAATCATCACACTAGACTTCCAGTTGGCCATTTATCTTCTCTCTACGATAGCAATGCAGCCGGTCTGGAGTCAACAGAGTTGAGAAGCCCATGGGTCAGGCAGCACAGGCTACGGATACTCCCAGGAAGGATGAGGAGGCAAGGGCAGAAGATGGGAGAGGGAGGAACGTGGGGTGGGAGCTGGGAGAAACTCAGTGCCCAGCCCCTCCCCTCTCCACACTCCCTTGTCTTTGGGTCCTAGACACATTCCTCACCCCAAGGACCACCTAGTACTCAGGGAAGCCCCCGTGGGAGAAGGCAGGGAGGTCAGGGGCACAGGCAGCAACCTGGGGCAGGCAAGCCAGGGAGTTGACCTCACAGGACCCAGCATCCTGGTCTTCCCGGAAGTAGATGGAGTCAGCAGAATCCATGGAGGGCTCCTGGTCAAAGAAGTTGTAGGGTCGCAGGAAGAAGCCCACACCGTTCCCCACTGTCACGGTGTTGGGAATGTCCTCTGCATGTGGGATGTGCAGGAAACCGACTGTCACCCAGGCCACCAAGTCCTAGTGGGGTAGAAAGAGAGTCAAGACTCCTGGCACTGCTAAGGTCAATTGCCTCCCCCAGGCTTCACTTTGGGAGCCTAGCTTCGAACAAGAGAGTTTTAAGTCTTTAATGTTTTCCTACTAGCCCAGAAATCAAAGCATAAAGAATCGATTTCACATTGGGAGCAATACCAGAACTCCTTGCTAGCCTAAAGTCTCCATCTCTGACTTTCCCTATCACATCACCATCAGTCTATGCATCTGAGGGGAATAATGCAACCTTTAGGTTACTTCAGTACCTCCCCTGACTCTGGGAGTATTCCCAAACTGTAACTGAGAGAAGGAGAATGAAAGAGGGAAGATCAGGCATTGAGAGGCAGAAAAGGCTGACATTTAGGAATTAATCTTTAGTGTGAAGCCAAAAACAGAGATATTGATATAAGCGATGTTATCTTCCATGGTCACTCGAGCCCTCCTGAATCCTGCAGCCCTTAAAGGACTCAGTCCACAGAGCTGAGACTGAGACTAAGAGGGCTGTTGCCTCTTGAGGGTCTGCAGATGAACTCCCAGCTTAGGAAGTTTCCCTCCACAAGTAATGAGCAGATCCACAAAAGCACAGAAGGCAGGAGTCAGCTCAGCCTTTGAGGTGATCACGGGGATTCAGCCCCCACTGCAAAGGAAGGTTGGGCTGATCTCTGTATCCCCCAACCCCTCCCTCTTCTCCCGCAGTCAGCTGACCTTTCCAGCAATGGTCTCATTGTTGATGAAGTCAGCAAAGTCCACGGTGGGAGTCCAGGGGTCATTCTGATTGAAGATGCTGGAGCTGCTGGGCTCTGTCTCCTTCCTCTGGGTCACGGCCAGCTGGTACCTAGGGATGCTCTGGTCAGGGGTCCATAGTAACTGTCCCTGTCCTGCTGCCTGGTCGTCATGGAAGGGAGCCAAGCCCATGGACCTCAGGTTTCCCCTCTCATCTACAGTCACGCAATGTCACCCTAGAAGTTGTCAGTAGCTCAGCATCTTTTCATGTCTACCTGTTGATACCTTGCAATTTCACAGCGTGACCCAGCCACAACAGAGAAGACTTTTCCCATGTGGGCTCTAGCATTCCCAGGGGGCTGTGTGTCCACTTTTGGCCTTTTGATATCCAAGAAATAAGTTTTGTGCTCTTAGCTCACCTGGTGTAGAATTTGAATGAGGTTCCCAATTGCCCCTCCCAACATGCTCTTCTCATCTCATCCACCCCCCTCCAACAACACACCCCACCCACCTTCCCCAGCTGAAGGCTCTCCCCATGGAGCTGTTCTGGGGCAGTGGCCCCCCAGCAAAGCTGACCGTCTGGATGCGATAGCCCCGAGGGTGCCCCCACTTGTTGTTCTGCTTGCTGGCCAGGTACAGATAGCGAGGGGAGGACTCTCCCAGGGGGAAGGCGGCCTGCTCCTCTGTCTCCAACTGCTTCCGGGTCACCTGCAGGCTCTGTATCTGGTGCTCAGGGCTCCAGGGTACCGCCGTGGGGACAAAAGCCATGTCCTCAGCCCAGACCCAGTTTTCCAGTCCTTGGGGGGTGGGGATGCAAAGGGTGAGGGGAGGAGGGAGGCCTGATCAGGCAGCTGCACTGCCCACTCTGGACTCTGCCTGCACATGACTTCAGAGTGGGGGCCAAAAAGAAGACCAACTGAGTGTGTCCCCTGCTTCCCTCCCCTCTCACCCGAAGATGTCCCCAGTCATTCAGCCCCCTCTACTGGAATCGTTGCCTCCCCTAGGGTGTCTTACCTCCGACATCCAGATCCACCTTGTAGTGGGCACTGTGGGTGTGGACGGTGCCTAGCGTGTGTTCCCCAACCTGGTTTCCATATCTTCGGGCAGCACCAAAGAGGAATGCTGAGCTGATGTAGCCCGTGGCATGTAATTTGACTTCTATGGCCCCATTGGGGTAGAAGACCATATCCCACACATAGTCATAGTTGAGCATCGTGGACACAGACCTGAAGATCAGCACTGTCTCCACAACACCCCCAAAATAGTGGGAAAGAAAATCTGAGTGGTGTCGCCTCAGAGGCAGGCCCTTGTTCTGCTCAAATACACAAAAGGCATCATGTAGTGTCTTGGGGGCTTGGGACTCCACAACGAAGTGCCAGTCCACGTAGGTGGCCAGATAGGGGCAGTCTACCCCACGAATCAGGGGTGTGGCGAAGTAACCCATGCCAAAGCCACTATCCATATAGCGAGTGAGCATTGCTGCTGGGGTATTCCCACCATAGACAGCGCCAGCCTCTTGCAGGCTGATCTCATAAGCCAGCCGTTCTCCTCGGAATCGAACATCAAAGATCCTAGGACCACTGAAAGCTCCAAGGCCAAAGGAGAAAGTCCACAATGAGGAGGTCACTCGACTGCCCTGGACACTGAAGCGAGCACCCTGAGGATG